GGGGAGGGTGGGGCTCCGTAGAGAGCCCCTGCGGATGGAGCGCGCAGGCCGGGGTGGAGGGGCCAGTACAGGAGAGGGGTGTGGCTAGGTGTCTGTGCTGGTGGGTGGGGACCCACAGTCTCAGGAGCTATGGGGCGGGGCTTTAATAACAGCCCAACAGGGTTGGGGGTGAGGATGGGCTCCCAAATAATGGGCTGGACCTTTAAGTGGTATGGCATGGAGGGGCGGGCGTGGGGCTGACCTCCTTGGAAACATGCATGTGCGTGAGACTGTGCCCTATTGTGGACTCTCTGACCCCAAGACCCGCGGAACGCCCATGGGAGAGGGAATCCAGTGAAAGGGGGGTGCGTGGGTAATGAGTGGTGGACAGGCCACATGGCATTCCTGGTATTTACTGTCAATGGTGCTGACCTGGCCCTGGCCCAGCCGCACATTGTGGGATTCACATCTGGACTTTCCCGGAATAGGCAGTGAGAGACCTCAGTTCCACAACTGTCTGGAAACCCAATCTGCTGTGTCTCTGGGAGAGAACTTCGCCCTCTCTGGGCCCGTGTCCCTACTGTAAAGTTGGATCAGATGGGTGTACTAGAAGGAGTCTGATTGTGAGCTGAGACCTGAAGCATCAGGCATCCAAACGGATGCTCTGTTGGGCAAGGCGTCCAGATTGGCGCAGACTGGAGTTGAGCCCAGGGCTGGAGAGGGGAAAGCAAGCCTGGACCAGATGCCCCACAGCAGTGGCCCTGAGACCAGAGGGTTGGGCAGAGAAGGGGTAAGAAGAGTTGTGGTGAAGGTGGCAGGGAGCAGGATAACCATCACCACCACCCTTAGGCCCTGGTCTAAGCATTTTCTGTGTGGCATCTCGTTTCACCCTCCCCACAGCTTGGGCAGTCACAGAGGGGGACACAACGGGTCAGAGAAGTGAAGTGACTTGCAAGTTAAGCCACTGGCCTCAACCTCAGGACTCTGACCGCAGAGCCCATAGACTATTCTGTAGGCAGTAACCTCCTTGCACTTCACCGCCAGCCTGCCACCCCTCGGCCCGCTTGGCTCCTATAAAAGCAGACCCTCTCTGTGCCTGCCACCTGGTAGAATGCAGTCAATGCCAGTGCATTATCTACTTAACAGTGACAGCAGCTGAGAGTAAAGGAGGTTTCCTAGGTGCCAGGCCTTGTGCAAATGGCAGGTATGAGAGTCCTCAACAGCCTCAGAGTGGGGGGACCATGCCCCATTTCACGAATGTGAAAACTGAGGGTTAGAGAGATCAGGTCACCTGTTCAGGGCTGCACAACTGAAGTGGTAGGGTTGGAATTTAAACTCATGGTCCAGCCCTGTCCGGTTTGGCTCAGTGGATAGAGTGTAGGCCTATGGACTGAAGGGTCCCAGGTTCAATTCCGGTCAGGGGCACATGCCCGGGTTGCGGGCTTGATCCCCAGTAGGGAGTGTGCAAGAGGCAGCCGATCAATGATTCATCATTGATGTTTCTGTCTCTCCCTCTCCCTTCCTCTCTGAAATCAATAAAAATATATATTCATTAAAAAAAATAAACTCATATGTCCAAACCCTGTGTCCTCAACCCTTGCACCATCCTGCCACTTTCGATGAAGGGTTTCTGCTACATTTTCTTTAGCTCATGATTAGTATAATTCCATTCTGCTCCAATCAATTAGCTGCTTTGAATCTTAGTCTGGGCCAGGTTCTGTGCTAAACACTTTACATATGTTAATATTTTTTCCTCACAGTGACCCATAAAATAGGCCCCGTTACTATTTCCATTTCATGGATAGGGAGACGGAGGCACAGAGACGTCTGGAAGTGTTTCCTTGCTGCCCTAGTCTGTGCCCTCCACCCAGGCCCCACAAGCGCCCCTTGGAGGACGTATGGGCACTCACCTCAGCACTCCGGCTCCTGACCTCCATGGCGCTGCTAGGAGTCACCTGGGCCCCAGGCTCCTGCTCCCTCTCTCCCTTCTTCTGCAGGACCAGCTTCAGTTCTGCATGGAGCAGCTGCCTCTGAGCCTGCGGGGGACAGAGATGGAGGTTTGAGGCCAGGGGAGGATGAGGAGAAGAGGCTGGGCTTAGAGGGGGGGAGGTCAAGGTGGTATCAAGGGGAGGAGGGCCCCCCAGCTGTCCTCTCACCGCCGCCTGGGCACAGGCACCCCCTCCTAACAGGAGCCCAGCCTGGCGTGCTGCACAGTCGTCTGTGGGACTCGCACCCTCTCTCTGAGGTCTTGCTGCCTGCCAAGGAGAGACAAAGGCATGAAACTGCAGGCAGGCCGTGGAGGGGCAGGGAGGGGCATGTGCACCAGCCAGTGCTCACCTCAGCGTCACCTCCTTGGGCTTCCCGGGTCCCGGGCTCTAAGAAGAAAAACATGAGCATTCCTGTCAGCTAACCCCTCGGATTGCTTCCTGAGTGCCTGGCCCGTCCTTCACTCTGTCAATACTTTATCTCCATAGCACAGGTGGAGACCTGCGCCTCAGAAGCCCTTTACCCAGGATGACACAGTTGGCCGGGAAACAGTAAAGCCAGAACTAACTCCTAGGCCTTTCTGACAGCAGAGTCCCTGAGGCAAAAACCTCAACGGGCCAAGGGGGCCAAATGCACTATAAAATAATTATAACCGTCCCATGTACTCCCCGTGGGTAAGTCACCTCACCTCTCTGTGCCTCAGTTTTCTCATCTATAAAATGGCATGATTGAGAGCACCTCCCTTGCAGGGCTGTTGGGAGAGTCAAATGAGTTACTAAATATAAAGCGTCAGGCACATGGAAGCCACTTCATGAGCACTTGCTGTTATTGCTAAGAATTTCCGGTGGCACTGATCTTGTGTCAGATGTTCCACGGGGGTTATTGCCTGTGGACCTCAGCACACCCTTAGGAGTTCAGTACCCTTACTGAGCCCATTACGAAGACGATACCTGAGCCTGGGAGGAGGGGAGCCACTTGCCCTCATCACAGACTTGAACTTGTCTGAAAGCTCCAGCCCCTTATTCTGATAATAACTAGTGGGTACTGAGTGCTCACTCGTTGCCAGTCCTGTGCTAAGACTACTGTCCACCTCACGGAAAGCCCTAGCCCCTCAGCCCAAGAACCTTGCTCTGGTCACACAGCACAGGGAGAAGGAGGCAGAGCTGGATTAGTATGTAGCGTCCCCTGAAGCCCTTCTGGGGGAAGGGGAGTGGATATTATGTTTCCCTTGTCTCCCCCCAGCTCTGGTCTTGTCTCCCCAGCCCCCACCTGGCATGCCAACACGCCAACCCCCACTCCCAAGGGAAAGGTCAGGCCTCACGCGGCACATTCCCTCAAACAATGGCCCATCTTCTGTGCCCAGTCACATTCCGCCCCTGCCCACCCACCCCCAGCTGCACAATGGCCCTTCATAGCCCACCAGTGGCCAGGAGGGAGGACACAGGGACCCCCTCAATGTTCCAGCTATGCCCACTCCATTGGCTGCCCCCCCACCAAGTCCGAGGGATCCTCTCTGGCTCTGTTAGGGGTCTGGGTCTCCGTGTCCTTTCCTGGACTCTCCCCTGAGCCCCAAGCCCCTCCAAACAGGGCTGGCTTCCATCTGGCCATTTCCTCTAAACTGGGCCCTGTGTTGACACCCATAGACCTTGTAATCACCCTGGATGTGGTGGCTGTTTTAGGATTGGAAACAGGCTCAGAGAGGGTAAGTGACCGGTCTGGGGTCACACAGCTAGCATGTGTGCCCTTCACCCCAAACCCTGCACCTTAACTAGCATTGGTGGCCCTGAGCACTGGAGGAGGCCCAAGGAGCAAAACAGCTGGGGCAGGAGCAGGGCTGGTCAGGGCAGGGGCAGGAAGTGGGGGTTGTGAAGGTGCCAGAAACAGGCACTTTTAGAGGGACCTCTGTGGTGCCAACCGAGCTGGGCAGGCACTTTATAGACAAGGCCTCATGGTACCCCATTTTACTGATGAGTAAATGAGGGCTGAGAGGACATCACCGTGACAGAGTCGGGACTTGAACCCAGGTCTCAGAAGCTAACTCCGAGTCCCTGACGCAGTGTAGCATCCTGAGTCTGGGGTGGGAGAAGCCTGGTCCTTGTAGGAAGTAGTGGAGACGGAGGAAAGGATCTCCTGGACCACAAGCTCCCTGCTTCAGGCAGGGCATCGAGGTCACACCCAGAGGCTGGCACAGGAAGCTCAGCAGGGGTGGGGGCACGAGAGTACCCTACTCCTTCATCCCTGCCCAGGACAGCCGCCAGCCCAGGTTATATTTAGCCCCAACTGTGCCCTTCCTGAGCCACGTACCCAGCCCCCGGAAGGAAGCCCACCCCACCCAGGGCACTCTGTTCCCAGCTCTGCCCATCCTACTAGGCAAGGGAAGGAGGGGTGGGGAGGTTCCTTGGGGCATCCCTGGCTTAGGTTCCCTAGAGGAAGATCTAATGGGGCTCCCATGGTGAATCAAGGCAAGGCAGGACCCTCCTGGTGCCAGCAGCCACTTCTTGAGCAGGCCCTCTGGTGCGATCCTGGAACATTCCTAAGCTTCCAGAACTCCGAGTCCCCATTTCTAGAGAACGTACCATGTGCAAAGATCCGTCCCTGGATCATTAAATTCTCACAACACCTCCCTGGAAAAGGTACAGCTAGATGGTCATTTAAAATGCCACTCATGCCCTTCAGAGTGGCTGGGGTGAGAGGCACTGGGCCCTTTAGCTGAGCTGGGCCTGCTGAGGACTCCTCCAGCTTTGCCCTGTGCACCCTCTTATCCCTATGGCTGGCGACAACCTCATTCTCCCCACTCGGAGCCTCAGCTTCCCTAGCTACCAGCCATCTGGTGCCCTCGATAATGGGATGGGGATATTGACCTGACCCATCCAGGACCCTAGACCTGCCGTGGGCAAACTACGGCCCGCGGGCCGGATCCGGCCTGTTTGAAATGAATAAAACTAAAAAAAAAAAAAGACCGTACCCTTTTATGTAATGATGTTTACTTTGAATTTATATTAGTTCACACAAACACTCCATCCATGCTTTTGTTCCGGCCCTCTGGTCCAGTTTAAGAACCCATTGTGGCCCTCGAGTCAAAAAGTTTGCCCACCCCTGCCCTAGACAAAACCTGAGGCCATCTAGTGAGGCTGAGGGGAGGCATGACCTGCGGCTGCCTGGGTCAATCCCTGCTCCCGCACTTCTCAGGTTGGAACACTGGGGCACGGTATTTCACCTCTCAGGGCCTCGATTTTCTCAGCTGTCAAATGCAGCCAATAAGAATGGTTTTGAAAATTGGTAAGCTAGCCCTGACCAGTTTGGCTCAGTGGCTAGAGCGTCGGCCTGCAGACTGAAGGGTCCCAGGTTCGATTCCGGTCAAGGGCATGTACCTTGGTTGCGGGCACATCCCCAGTAGGGGGTGTGCAGGAGGCAGCTGACCGATGTTTCTCTCTCATGGATGTTTCTAACTCTCTATCCCTCTCCCTTCCTCTCTGTAAAAAATCAATTAAAAAATTATATATATATAAAAAGAAAATTGGTAAGATAATTGCAGGTGCTTAGGATATAGTAGGTGCTCAGTCATGTAAACTAGTCTCTGACAGCAAGTGAGAGTCCGGGCTGTGCTTCTCAAAGTATCTCATATCCAGCCTTTGCCCACCGGTGGCTCCGCACTCTTTCCTACCAAAGGGGAACTTTGGATGAGGAACAAAGTCCAGTTCGGGCATGACCTCACACCAGGTGAGCGCTGCCTCCAGCACACTCTTCCAGGGACCAAACTGCTGCCCTATCCCAGACATTCTTGCCCTACAAGCAGCAACTTATCTCCCCGTCAGCCCTGTGAGGTGGCCTTCAGCAGCCCCTTTTAGAGAAGTAAAGTGGAGGCACAAAGGGTGAAGTGTCTTGTCCGAGGCTGCACAGCCAGAAAGAGAGGAACGTTGGGATTGGAAGCCAGGGTCTGGCTTCAAAGTCTGTACCTTCAACTCCTACAACACGCTGCTTCCTGAGCCCCAGGCGCCCTCCCAGCACCTCCCAGGACCCTGGGTCCCATTCCCGAGGCTTAGTAGCCTGGCCAGGAAGGGAACTGGCTGGCTGATCTCTTACCACTGGGCCTCCAGACACCTCCAGAGCAGCTCCTGTCCCTCGTCTGCTCAGCCCCAGCACCAGGCTGGGGGGGAAAAGGAATGGGGAGGGAAGAAGGGGGAGACCCCAGCCATTGGCTGCCCAGGCATGACATCACCAGGGGTGAGGGTGGGGAAACAAACATCCCCCCCTCCCAGCTACATTCACTTGCCTGGGGGTGGGGAGCCACAAGGCAGCCGTGCTCCCTTGCCTGGGGCGAGACTGCCACCATGAGCCCCTGCTCTTGGGATTTGCACAGCTACAGCCCCTTGGAGACTGAGCACCCCACCAGCATGGGTTCCTGGCTTTCAGAAACAAGCCTGGCCCCCCTGGCTCCCCCTAAAATAAACTTCCACTCCCTCTCCCAGCTCAGCCACCGCCTGGCTATGTGACGTTCAGCAAGTAACAGCATCTCTCTGGGCCTCCATTTCTTAAACAGATAGTAAAAGTGCTCACCCTCATGGGTTTGTTGTGAGGATTAGATGAGTTAAAAGAGGCTAAAAACCTTTTAAAGAATCTGGCATAGAATGAATGCTACTTATAAATATTTTGCATTCTTATCCATACAAATCAGGGGGACAGCTAGCCTTATCAGTGGGCTTTTGGCCTAGTGAGACCAGGCACAGGGGAGTCCCACTACTCTGCTTAATGGAGCTGCCATTTGGGGGGCACACCTATCTTGTGCTAAATACTGTGCCCTGCTCCTGGAATCAAGGGTGCAAGGTGGGTAAATTATACCCACTTTTTAGCTATACAGCCAGGAGTGGCTGGTCTGGGGTCCAGCTCCATTTCTGCTGGACCCCAAAGATGCTGCAACACTGTTCTGTCCCCCCATATAACAAACAGGCTCTGAGAGGGTGACGCCCATGACCACCCACAGCAGGTAGTCGGTAGCACTAGAATTTGAATACAGACCTGACCAACTCCCAACCAAGGCCTCACCCTGATACCCTGGCCTCCGGCCCCCAGCCTGCCCTGACTCACCAGGCCCTGGGGGGCGGCATAGGAAGCACAAGTACCCCCACATGCCCTTCGAACCCTCCTGGCTGCTGCCTCGGATGCTCACAGCTCTCTGAGCCCAGGCCTGAGGCTGGAGCTGCTATGAGCCTGGGGATTACCCCCAAAGTGCACATCAGCAGCTTCTGCCCCATTGTGCAGCCAGGCGAGGCCACCAGGCCCTTTGTGAGCCTCAACCCTCACCCCAGCACAGGGGGCCCTCTGAGGAACTGTCCCCTTGACTACACTGCATATCAGGGCATAGGGACCAGGTTGGCAGGACCCCATAGAACAGGTTGGCAAGATCCCAGAATGCTCGGGGCCTCCTCTCTTCTCTCCAAAATGTCCCCTGCCCACTCTCAGCCACCGGAGAAGGCAGGAATGTGCTGAGCTCTGGGAAAAACCTTCCAGGCCTGGCAGCCAGCAAGGGTTGGGGTGTGGCCGAAACCCAGCCAGAACCCTCCGCCCAGGAGGGGTGGAAGGGACAGTGTGGTCAGGGCTGCTGATGGGCCTGAGGAGACCCTCAACCATTGCAATGAGACACTGACACACCTACATTTACTCCAGGGGTGGGGGCAGACTCAGGAAAGGATTCCTGGAGGAGGAGACATCTAAAGTCAAGCTGAAGGGCTGAGACAAGGGAGCCAGGTAAAAAGGTGGGGAAGGGGCTTCAGGTGGAGGTACAAATACGGGCAAAGCACCAGAGGGGAGAAGGGAGCAGCCCTTTATCCGACATCAGCAGTCAGTGAGCACCTGGTCCTGTGCCCAGCCCCCGCTGAATGCTGCTGTGGACACCATATGACCAAGATAACCCGGGCCCGACTTCACAGAGTTCACAGCCCAACAGGGGACAGACCCAAAATGGCCAGGGTTGTGATGGAGACTCGCAGGCAGAAAGGCCAATCAGGGCCTTGACGGGGGAGCCCAGGAAAGGTGCCTGCGCCAGCGGAGGAAGGGAGGGCGGGGAAGGCGTCCTGAGGAAGGGACGTGTGAGCTGAGACTGAATGACTGATAGGAACTAGACTAGAGAAGAGGGAAGGGAACAGTTTTATGGGCAGAAGGAGCCGAATCCAAAGAGAGCTCAACACATAGGAAATGTCCAAGAGCTGAGAACTGTGTCCTTGTTCATACCAGTAGCTGCGCCCCAGGACCAAGCATGCCCCTTCTTTAGCACCTCCGTCTCATTCATACCTTTACCGGCTCCTAGCAGACACCTTCTCTGTATCTATCCCTGGGCCAGGCCGTGCTGGGGACACAGTAGTGACAGTGATTGCCCTCACAGAACTCACAGTTGAAAGGGGCAGACGTTAAAAAAAGTGATTAACAGGATGAGTCTATTATTACACACCGACCCAAGTGATATGAAAGACGGATCTAGGTCTATATGAGGGGCCTGGCATTTTGGTACTATCAGAATGATCAGGGAGGGCTTCCTGGAGGAAGTGACATTCGAACTGGCACCTGAAGGATATGTTGGGGAGCACAAGAGACTTGGTTGGAAAGTTGTAAGGAGGACATTCTGATAAAAGGAAGTGTGTGGAAGGCCACCTGCCCAGTTTATCAGAATTCCGACTTAGGGAAGTGTCGAAGGCGACGCCCCTAATTATTCTTTGGCCTTTCCAAACAAGCCTGTGCATATGCAGACCCCCAGGTGTTTACTGGAATCCTTATGCTTAATCCCTGGATGCCCCTGCCTAAGGACAGGGTAAACACGTGTCCTCCCAAGATTACTCATCCTACTGATTGTATCTAAAGATAAAATTCCAATAAAGGCCTAACGAGGCAGGCAAAAGAGGGGGCTCTGGCTACTAAAGCCAGGGCCCCTCAACCCTCTCTTGCACAGTCAAACTGTGTCTGACTAATCTGTTCATCCGTCGTTGAGCAGCTGCTGGTCAGCCCCGACAAGGACACATAGGGATTCATGCAAAGCTGTGAGTGGTAGACAAATGAGAGTGGGTTTCAGGTGGAGGGAACAGCATGTGTGCAGAGCTCCTCTGAGAAATTGGCGAGTGTGAGGGAAAGTGAGGAGAGGTCATCAGGGTCATGAGGAGGGGCTGAACTCTGTTCTGAGAGCCCTGGGTACCTACAGGAGGGGCAAAGTCAGAGCTGAGTTTTAAGTTTTAAGTAGTTGAGGGTGGAGTCTGACTACTGGCCAGACTGGAGTCGGGAAGAAAATCCACCCTGTCTGCTCAGGGTCAGACAGACCAGGGAGTCTGCTGCCTGCTCTCCTGTTTCTCTCTGGGCCTCAGAGGGCAGATACCCTTGCTTGTTCCCATCGCAGGTACCAAGCATCCAGTCTTTTGCCGTTAAGTGAGCTGGGAGCTGGGAGCTGGGAGCTGCCCTTGAGCAGGTGAAGGAAGCTCCTTTCCCTAGTTTAGTGCGTTGTCATAACTGGTATGTCTCTCTGTGCTCCTCTGTGTCTCTGTTCCTCCCTTTGTCTCTGTTTTCGTTCCTGAGCTCTGTGTCTCATCATCTGTCTCTATTTCTTTCTCTGTGTCTCTGGCTTTCCCTCACCCGAGAGGGTGTGGCCATGGGAAGTTGAGTTTAGAAGTTGGCACCAGTGTCCCGGTTCTGGCCAAGGCCACCTCAGTAAACACAGGACATCCTGTAGGGCAGGGGAAGGAGGTGGACGCTTCTGCTCAGGGACCACCCTCTCCCCACCCAGCCTGAGTTGGGCAGGAGCCAGGTTTCCCGGTGCAGCCAAGGGAAACTATCCTCACCTCCGTCCTTCATGCCTGCTCCTGCCCCTGGCCCTCTCAACTGAGCTCCATTCCCAGGGCCAAGCCATGTGGATGCTTTGACACACCATGTCCCTCTCTGGCCTTGGTGTCAACCGCAGGCCTGGCCCACCGTCCCCCAGTCTCCTAGCTAGAGCTGAGGTCTCGTCCTAGGCTCCTCCTCATTCACAGCTTATCAGTCCTCCACCTCTCCCCACGGCTGCTCCTGGCCTCCCCTCTGGTCTCCTGGCCTCCAGTCTCATCTCATCACTACCACGTGCACATGGCAGCCAGAGAGATCCCTTTACTCCCAGATCCCTTTACCCTACTGCCTTGAGAGCGGGGTCCCTCACCCGTCCAACCCCATCACTGACCTTATCACTTCCCCGTCCTTCCAGTCAAACCCAGCAGCTTACAGGTCCCTGAAGAGGTTGTAGGGTCCCTCACCTCCTAATTCTTGCACATGCTGTTCCCTCTTCCTAGAATATTCTTTCCTCAGAACAGCTGTGTGAGGTGGGTACTGTTACGGCTCCAGCTTAGAGATGAGGACCCTGAAGCACAGAGAAGTTAAATACTTTGCTTAGGGTCACAAGCCACAGAATGGCAAAGCTGAGGTTCAAACACAGGTGGTCTGGCTCTCAACAAAACCGCTGCTCTACGGCTTATTGCGCCAATAATCACTGACTAAGCATCATTATATTTCCATGCTGGGACTGCACATCCTAGGTACTCGGCACAGGGGTGGAAGGCGCAGGGTTCAGGTCCTAGGGGACTGGGATACATTCTGAGGGCCCGGAGCAGGGGAGAGATGTGCTCAGATTTTCCTTTTAGGGAGGGCCAGGCACATAGTAGGTACTCACAAATCTTTGCTGAACGAGAGAAGGAAAGAAGGGAGGGAGGGATGAAAGGAGGGAGGGTGAAGAAGACCAAGGACAGGAAAGAAGTGGGTGTGTGATGGGGGTCCCTGTGAATGTCCATGGAGGGGAGCTGGCCTGGGGAGTGTTGTGGTGGGAACACACAGAGGCTCTGTGAAAGGCAGCAGCAGCGCCAGGGCTGGCAGCTCAGCGAGGAATGGTGTGGGCCCTGGAATCTGCTGGCTGAGGTGGTGCGGCTTCCTGGGGTTGAGTCTGAGGACAGAAGTGCACACCAGAAAGTCAGGGAGCCTGTACAATCATCCAGAGGTCAGACATGGGGACAGTGGGGCAGGTCCTCGGGCAGGAGCTGTTCATAAACCTGAGGGCACCAGAGGAATGGGGACCACAGCTGCTCTAGCCCATCTGGTGCTTTTGGACAAAAGAAGTTCCCCTTCCCCCAGGCACTTGACCTCCATCTGCTGGGAAACCATCATCATAAACATGTAAATGCAGGTGCCCAAGACGTTTGCGGTAGTCACTTAAATATGGAGTCTTGTGCCGTGCACAGCCTCTGCAACTGTACCCAGAGGCTCTGGGGAGAGGGGAGCATGGCGGGCCAAGGAGGCACAGGGGGCGGATGGGGAGGATCATGCACAGACCCGTTGGCTGTCTGCAGGCATACGGAGCATCCTACAATTTGGCACTGGGAGACATCAGGAACAGGCCCCCACAATTCTGTAAACAGGGCGCACTGCTGACCCCACACTGGGGGATTCCTGAACCACTGGGCAGATCTCGGGAAAATCTAAGGCAGCGTCGTCACAGACCCCAGACTGGGCACCAGGGGGCATCGCTGAGCGCGCCTAAAGTCCCAAGGACGGGGTCAGGGTCAACACGGAGTCGGAGTCCCATTCCCCGGAGGTTGGAGTCGGGCACCCGGAAGACCTTCAGCCTGGGCGCCAGCTCCTTTGGAGCCATTTCCACTCCCCGCCCAGGCCGCCGCTTCCACTTCCAGAAATGGGCACGACTTCCTCTG